ACTAATTAAATGGGAAAATATATTAATTGTTTTAATTTTTAAATAAAAATAAAGTAAAATTAAGAATTAAAGTAGTTTTTAAATTATTTAAATTAAAAAATCCACATAATCATCTTTTACATGATGGATTTTCCACCTAATATTGAAAATGTAAAATAGTCAATCATTTAGCAAAAAAATTAGCTACATCAACATTTAACTGACGGAAAGACACAATTGAAAATTAAAGTTGAATGATGTTTTTGGTACTTTTTAAAGTTCAAGGATGAATTGGTTTAAAAATAAAAGTTGAGGGACCAATTCAAATATTTAACCTAAAAAAAATTAGCTAACGTTAGCATCACTCCCTTGAATAAAAAAAGTTGAAAGTTAACATCCTTAAATAAAAAAAGTTGAAAATTAATATTCTTCAATAGAAAAAATTGAAAGTTGACATTCTTATTTAAAAACCGATAAAATTAACATCCTTAAATAAATAAATAAATAAAAACAAAATAAAAATATTTATTTGCACCTTTACTCCTCAAAAGTCTCCGTCTTCTCTTGTCTTAGATGGAATTTTCTAACCCCTGCACACCGGCACAGGTTTGCCAGCATTATAAATATAGCATCAAAACCTAATTAAAGTGGTATCTTTTATATGGTATCTTTTATTTTTTTTAATAAAAATTCATTTACAGATCAGTTTTACATTACACATATAAAATTTTAATTATTTATCTATTCACTTTTAATAATTGAGATTTATTTTTTATATTTATTAAAGATAATTATTTTTTATCTAAAAAATTTTTTAAAAATTTCAATCGTTAAAAGTAAAAATAATGGTCAAAATTTTATATAAATGTGACATGTAAAACTTTTATATAAGTAAATCTCATCTTTTTAATTCAGACTAAATGCCCTTATATACTGTTATACCATGTATAACATTTTTCTGGTCACCCGTCTCCGTTTGCCTTCTCTCTTCTATACCTGTTATTGCTGAAAAATAACTCAAAGAGGAAATCTGATGGGAGTAATTAGGATTTTATTAATGGTAGGAGAGGTACATAGATTGAAATACAACATTAGGATTAAAAAGAGAGTTTTTTTTCCATCTCCCTGCCTATTTCTTCAAAGGTTTTTAAAACCCTCTACACCGAGATCCTAACTCATCGGAAATCCTAACAAATCCTAACTCATAAAAGATCCTAACAATAATTTAAATTCAAGTCTCTTAAAAATTCTCTTGAGGATTTATTTTGGATCATGTAATCCTGATTTTTCTCCAAATTTAAAATACGGATATAAAATACCCCTATTGTTTTTTTCTCTTCTGCTCCCCAATTA